GGCTTTTAAAACGTTCTGTAGATATCGATTGGTTACTATGTATCTGATTTAGTAATGTAAATCAGTTGAAGGCTCTCTGAGACGGAAATAAGAATTGTGGGGCACCATATTGGAGCAGCATATTTGCTCAAATGTCAGAACGTAGACCTTTCAGAATTGCACTTCGTATCACGGTTCTTCTGGCGCTCTTGGGGTTATTCCTGGTCGTGTTTTGGCTCTATGTTAAAAAAACAGCACCATCAAATCGCAATTGATTAATAATCAAAAAGTTAATTCCATACTACAGGGGTTAATTATTTTATGATTGAATTAACGACAATATTTGCCTGAGCTCAGGTGACATGCATTCAATCTGGGGGACATAGTGGGTTACGTCCCCTGCTTTCAAAACTGCCTAGTACTTTGAGCGTTAGTAAATCACTTATAAAATGTTTGATAAATTTCGAAATTAAAATAAAATATATAGAAAATATTAGAGTATACAAAATTGGCATATTTAATAGTGGACCCTCGGGGGCACTTAAATACTCTTTATAACTATTTTTATTATTCTTTTATTAAAAACGGTGGCCTATAATTTTTGTGTTATTTTGTTGTCTTCCAAACGTTTATCTGGTGTAACTAAAACTAAGAAAATGGTTTCATAAAATGCATTGGGATCCCTAGATACTTGCGTTTAAGCCATGATCTCTGACATAGATCATGTATCTCCTATAGCGGGGGTGGCCAGGCTGACCTGGCCTAAGAGTCGCGAACAAAACCACGTAACTTCCAAGAGCCGCGCGAGGGGGGGGGGGGGAGGGAAGGGTTGCAAACTTATGTCCAGGCCAATAAACGATACTCGAACTACTTGCCATCCATCTGAGTCAAGAGCAGTCCAACTGTACGTAGTAGCAGAAGGACAAGACTATTAATCCGCAACCTGCCATTCGATTTAGAACGCGTTCCATTTCTCTCTTTGGGGAAGTGCTCGTGTGACCGGGAGGGAGGATGGGGAGTGGAGGGGGGAGGGGGAGGTAGGGGGGGGGGATTGGAGACGCGAACCGCACTGTAATACGCGAAGAGTCGCATGCGGCTCGCGAGCCGCATCTTCGCCACCCCTGCCCTATAGGATCAGAGCCTACACGTTCGAAGACCGAACCGGCCGCCAAATCTGGAGAGACATCGCACAGAGCACGACATAAAGAAAATAAAAGGGATTGTGGCGCCCCTACAAATCCGCGGTGACTTTTGGAAACTCTTCTTTATTTCTTCTTTTATTTTTTTTTTCTTCCAAAAGAAACCGTGCATTTTTCTCTTTTTTTCTATCTGAACCAATGCCCATCTAGACGTACCTTCCTTTCCCCAGTTCCTCAGCGCATTTTCATAATTCCACTACGAAAGAAGGGGGGGGGGGGGGGGGGGAGGAAAAGCCGGTACTTTTTTGGTCCTTCGCAAAATAGAAAAATAAAGGAGGAGTAGTTAGCCCTACGACACCTGTATGGCGCTAACCACAAGATCCTTCCTTCTCGCCTGCCGCATTCCTCTTTGTTTTACCGTAACCTGGCTGTCTCTTATTTTGTTGCCGAAAGCGCAGACGCTCCCTACATATGTCCGTGTTTATGTCCGTGGTATATGTCCGTGTTTTAATTTTTTTTTTTTATATTTTTTGTCTGATTTCTGGTGATGTCAAATGAAGAATACGCACACGTAGATAGTTGATGCGAAGACGACTTGACTTAACTTACACGATGTCATATAAACTGTTCTGCATTATCACTGTACTCCATTCACCCCTTAGCCAACAGTGCGGTGGTAGCTACGTGCTCGCAGGAAAAGTCATACATCCATCTTTGGTCACTTGATCACAGTTCCGCCCACGGGCAGGCAGTGGGGTCAGGTGCAGAAACGAACGATGTTGGTTGGTGCGGTGAGCGCGTAGCCGCCACCGGACTGTCAGCTCTGGGCTGAACTGAGCACAGATGCCAGTATCTTTCTTTCATGACAATTGTGCAGATTCGAATTGGACACTTAAAGCAGTTTTTAAAGCGCAGGCTTGGTTGTCCGCACGATGGCGCCAGTGCGCCGCGCAAACTGGCAGGTTCACCTGGCTCAACCGCATGTTCATTCGACGATGGATATCTAATGGGCAACATAAACTCCAACATCGATGACAAGCGAAAATATACATTATCCTCCTGCTGCGTATCTATGATCCGATTTGCTCTTGGGTATGTAAAATGCACCGCAAGGCAATATATAAGCGTAGTAGTTATTCGCTAGAGAGCATAACAATCGAATATGCATCTCATTCCCAGTAACAAGGAGTCATAATCTTCTTTCTGATGGGGGACAGATTACACTTGTCGTATAATAACTAATTCACGGGACTAATGGTGTTGTATTTCTCTGTCACGGTATTGACAACTAAAATTTCTATTTCATGTTCAAAAAACTTGCATACCAGAACTCAGCGTCTGGCATGTTTGCTGACGGTCACGAACACCGAGTTCATATCAACAGATAAATTGCCAGGTAATGTTGTTTCTAAAAACGAAACATGCAAAAATTTTTTCAAAGGGCTTCAAAATAACAATGGATTTCATGAAGATATGGTAAGTTTGTTTTTTTAATAATCTTTCTCTTTGATTTTAAGAGTGGTCCTTTTTAAGGTTTGATTGAGAGCGCTGATGTATTCAGCGCAATAATGTCTTTACCGAGAGCGGCACTTCGTCAAACAGATGTTCATATGATGCTTCTAGCATGCATTTTTTATTCGAACTCAATAGGCATGCGGTAAACCCGTAATGATAGATTATAGCATTTACCTTTAAGTTTAAGTTATAGACATTATGTACATATATCGATTCTTTTTTTTTAGCGAAATAAGACAATAATTGGACCGGAATTGTGACTGTTTGATCAACAATATAACGAATTACAAGTACAAGAAACTCAGACTAAATATACATAATTCTATCAATGACTATCGTGAAATGCAACAGATTAGTTACTTGTTCGTTTGAAATATGACTTTTACTTTGCTTGTCTTGATCAATCTTAATATAGAAGCACTAAATTGATATCTTCGAAAATTATAAATATTATACTTGCAATTTTTCTAATTTATATATTATTGTAGTTCTTGTAAAAATAAATATAAACTGTGCTTCATTTGATCTCATTGGATGCATGTAGTATTGAAAACCTCATCGGCGTTTGACCTTGAAGCTTCGTGTAGCTCATCATGCGCTCGTTTCCATGCCTTTCCTCGAATCACGCTAACCTTGTTTGACAATTTAGGGAGTTTTCATAGACCCTTTTCCCACCTACGCCACGCTCTCCGTAACGAAGACACCACTAGTGCCCGTGCTCGGCGCTAGGCTTTCCCTGCAGAGCCCCGGATCTCGTCGTGGGTCGCGGAGGACGTTGCGGGACAGCGGAAAAGACCTACGAAAACTCCCTAGTATCGGCAAACATCCGCCCACATACACAAAAATGCTTGGGCGGGAAGCTATAAACAGGATATTTACAGGTGTGTAATGTAACATAGATAAAGTATTAGGTATCAAACTTTCCTCCCGCAGACATCTTTTCTAAGGTGGCGGAAGTTCGATGGACACAAATAGATCATATATATTTCTGTCCTCTTTTTCTATTCAAGTGTCATGGTTGCTAACCACGAATGAGACACAGGTTGATAGACTCTCACCGAAATTAAAATCGATCCAACTAGCTCAAATAATTATATATGAAAATCCTATGAACGGGCTACTCTTGGTTTTTTTTTCTATATAGAGTGGCAAAAGTAACACCTTGCTATACAAACTTTTCTTGAACACAATCGCTGCTCTATTTCACCCGAATATTTTATTTATAATCCAAATATAATTTGTATTGCTGAGTTATTTTTATGCCACCACACACCTGTACATATTTTGGTGAAATCTTCCCGTGCAAGCATTTTTGTGCGTGTGGACGGATGTTTGTCGATATTAGAGAGTTTTCGTACATCGTTTTTGCTGCCCCACAAGGTCCTACGCGACCCGCTACGATATCTGAACTCGCCCTGCTAACCCAGAAAGAAATAATCTTGGAATCATTTAAAGAAAAGTTTGACACTTTTAGCATATTCGTGCACTTTTCTAAGGCGTTTGAGCGCATTAACCATAGTACTCTAGTTAAAAAGCTTGAAAAGGCTTTCGTGGGGTAACTCTCGACGTTTTCGCTTCATATTTAGAATTTCGTCAAGAGTGTGTTGTCATCGACAATCAGCGTCCAGGTTTACAATCATTAACTGCCGGTGCTCCTCAGGGAGGTATACTGGGGCCCCTACTTTTTAATATATATATATATATGATATTGTCAAAATTAGTACGGAGGCAACGTTTGTTATATATGCCGATGGCACGAGTTTATTTTTTTCTGCGCAAGATAAAAAAAACTTGCGCCAGTCGCAAATCATACTCTTGATTCGCTTCACAGATCGAGTTCTGTGAATTCACTCCCTGTTAATACATCCAAAACTAAGGCAGTGCTCTTTAAACCGGAGAATAATCTATGGTTTTCGACTATGACCTCGTTCTTGGGCCCTCCATGATTTAGATACTACTTGTTGGATATGTAGCCCAGCAGGGTGCTTCAGCTGGCCGGATGTAGAATGACACCACTGTGCATTGTGTATATAAAGGCCAACCCCAACCGGGGGGGGGGGGGGGGGGGGGTTGTTCTCTACTTCATGTCAGCAGCTGAGCTGCAGTTGTCAAAATAAACTGGACCCAGACCCAAGCATGGTCTTGTGCTCTCAATAATGGCGACGAGGCGGCGACGAACTTGCCGGGAATAAAAAAAGCAGCGCACCAGGCGGACCAAGTCTAATGGACGGCAGTCAGGCAGCTGCGAGTGGCGTCATCCATCCAATCATCGGGCGCTTGTCCGAATTCCACCTCGCTACAGGCACTCTCGAAGTCTACATCAAGTGGTTCGAGGCATTTGCTCGAATAGAAAACTTTGATGAACAGCGGAACAAGGATGTCTTCATCACGGTGCTCGGTGACAAAGCGTACATGACCTTGCGGAACTTGGTGTTTCCAGAAACGCCGGAAAAAATAACGTATCAACAGATAAGAGAGGTCCTGCTCAAGCACGACAAGCCCAAACGCTACATCGTTACAGAGGACCACGATTTCCACAAGCGCACTCAGGGGAGACAAGAACCATTCGACGACTTCGTGGTAGAACTGAAGTGTTTGGCTACGAACTGTGCGTTTGGTGCTTTCTTGAGCGATGCGCTGAGGGACCAACTCGTCGTGGGGGTGCGCAGCGAAGGAACACGTTACAAGCTGCTCGCCGTAGAGGACGGAAACGACCTGACGTGGAAAAGGCGTGCGTCACTGCCACATCAATGGAAGCTGTGAACGGACACTCCAAGGAAACGGTTGCGACACCGTCCAATTCACGGGAGCCCGAGATGGACGCCAACTGGCAACGCAGGGACAAGTTTCAACGGGAAGCCGCCGGACCACGGAAGACAACCACAACTAAACAGGACAGCCACCGTGCACCAGGTGTGGTCTACGGCATCAACCACAGGACTGCCGGCACGTTAAGGCAAGGTGTTTCAATTGTTCTGAAATAGCTCACTTAGCTGCGATCTGTAAAACTAAACGAAGCAATTTTACAGAGGAGCAAGAGGTGATCCAGTGTTGAAGTGTGTTCCTTTGATAAAAGTGGTTGTCAACCGTACAACGTGCAGATTTGGGTGAACGGAAGGTTGATTCCGACGGAAATAGATACGGGTTCGGCTGCGTCTATTATCCCGGAAAACGTTCTGTTAAGTCAATTTATGAAAATTAAGTATGAACCCGTGCAATTCCGGTTGCGAACGTACACTGGTACCAACGTCCCAGTAAAGGGACGTATCATGATAATAGTATAACATGAAGGCGCTTATTTTATGTTGCCTTTAGTGGTAGCTAAAGCGGATGAACAGCGCCCGGTGCCAACCTTGCTTGGGCAGAACTGGCTCGAACACACTCGCCTAAACTGGGCGCAAGTGTTGAGAATAGATTCTATAGCGTCGAGGCAAGAGTCACTGTTACACGAGTTTGAGGACGTGTTTCAAGGGCCATTTGGCAAGATTACGGGCTTCCGGGGGTCCATTGCGCTGAAAGCGGACGTGCGACCACTGTTCTGTAAAGATAGAGTGGTGCCGTACGCACTCAAATAGAAGGTAGAAGAGGAGTTACGTGATCTCGAAGCCAAAGGGATAACTCACCCCGTGCAAGAAAGCGAATGGGCAACTCCTCTTGTAGTAGTACCAAAGGAGGACGGTACTACAGTTAGACTGTGTGGGGATTATCATGTAACCCTTAATCCCTGCATTAGTTGCGCACTATCTGTTGCCGTTGCCTGAAGATGTGTTCGCGTCATTAGCAGGGGGCAAGATGTTCACAGTGCTTGATTTGTCAAAAGCGTACTTGCAACTCCAGATGGATGAGCAGTCGCAAGAACTATAGACCTATTGCTATATTATCCTAGCATCAAGGAGAATGCAGGGATTGGTGTTCCACGCGCCGCACGTGCTGGCGTCAGCAGTAGGAACATTTCTAAACCAAAAGAATAAAACAAATGAAATCTTGCACGCGCGTTCGTGAACGCTTTATTTTGGTTATTTACTTCGAATCTTTTATACGGGGAAGGCGTGCGCGTGTGGACCGTAGAACACCAATCCCTGCATTCTCCCTGATGCTTGGGCAATATTGCAAATGGTCTATTGACCACCAACACATATCTAATTTAGTCTGTTCTGTACAAAACGGTTGCCGTTTGGGATAGCTAGTACGTCAGCCATATTCCAGTCTGTAACGGATCGGTTGTTGAAAGACACGGAAGGTGCAGTGTGCTATCTTGACGACATACTTATTGTAAGAAGAGCAGACCGTGAGTGTTTGGAACGTACGAAGCAGGTGTTACAAACACTGTCACCATGGTACCCAAGTAAGTGCGGATAACTGCCAGTTCCTTCAAATCAGGGATCGCTATCTGGGGCATGAGATTGATGAAGTTGGCATTCATCCGACTACAGAAAAAGTTGAAGCTATCTCGAAAGCTCCGGCACCCACCTCGGTGACAGGGCTAAAAGCTTCTTTGGGGTTAGGTTCTGTGGCGTAAATCTCACGATTATCTTGGAAACAACCATCACACCGGCTGTCTAAAGGTCTTCGCTGCCGACGGACATCGTTTTTTGGAAGATTGGATCACCGCCTGGCTTCTACCAGCCGGTTACTCCATCCGGGGCGTGGCCGCCCGCTAACCCAAACCCAAACTTCGGTGCACCGCGGCGGGGCGGCGGAGGCGGGCCCAGCCGCCTTCTCCCCCGCTCGGCACACCTCTCGCCATCTGGCACCTCCATCCCCGAGACCCGGAGCGACGCAATGGTAAGCATCGAAGTATACGGCGAGTCCATCTCGCCTGAAGAAATCACCAAGGAGGCCGGGTGGCTAACAAGCCATCGTCGACGTGGCGCCCGAGCCCTCGCACAGCTAGGTCTAACCCCGGGACAATCCCATGATCAGGAAGGCGCTGGCTCCCGGCCTACTAACCGGCAGCCGCGTGCCGAGAAGCAAACAATTCGGAAACCGCGCCTGCCGCGTCAGCGGCCTTTGCCCAAGGAAGACATAAAGATCGTGCTGCGCCCGCGAGAGCGGCTCGACATCACAAAGATCAGCCACGCCGAGTTGCGCGACGGAGTGCTCCGTGCTACCGGTCTCGGCTACGACGAAGTGGCGGAAGATCTCCTGAGAATCAACATCGCAAAAAACATCATCGTGGCCAGCACCCCCAGCATGGAGCATGCGAGCAAATACACCACTGTCAAGGAGCTCCGCTACGGAGAAAAATCCTACAACGTCACCACTTATGCGGCGCCTCCCGAGGACACCGTCAAGGGGATTATACACGACATCCCCGAATACGACAGTGCTGAGGATATCACAAGAAGCCTTTCTATAAGAATAAAACCACGATTCTGCAAGCACGAAGAATGGGCCGGACGAATTCGGCAATTATCGTCTTTGAAGGCACCAAGGTACCGTACTATGTTTACTACCGCGGCGCCGAATACCGCTGCTTCATTCACAAGAAGCGGCACGAAGTGTGCGACGGGTGCGGCAGGCTCGGCCATCGCACGGACGTCTGCCCAGCACCCGACAAAAAGATCTGCAAGATCTGCGGCACCGAAGTCCCGTCCGAAAACCATCAATGTGAACCCAAGTGCGCACTTTGTGGCCGAGATCATCCGACCGGCGGCCAAAAGTGCCGACTCCGTTTCCAGACTCCCTATCTTCTTAAGAAGCGGAAGTGGGAAAAGCAACAGATACAGAACAACCGTCGACGGCCACAAAATGTAAACGGGTTGATAACTGGGCTAGTTGGTAGTTAGACATAACTCACAACTGTATTTACAAAGATGCCTTTTGCCTGAGCCACAATATGGCTCAGGCAACCCAGCCTAGACGCCGTCCATACTCAAGAAAGACGAACCCAGCGGAGACACGCCCGGTCAGCGCGGTAGATCGGGCTCCTTCCCACGCCTCCCGCAGTATGAGCGGCAAAGCAGACGGGACGTGAGTCGCGGACCAGGGACAGCTCCGCCAGCAGTCAACATCGCTCGCGCTCGTCGTCGCGGCGCCGGAACCCCAGCATCCAAGGCCGCCAGAACCAGAGACGCAAGTCGAGATCCCCGTCTCGAAACGGAAGGCAGCTAACCGGGGGCAATCAAACAAACAAGGTGAGGTGGGCAAACAAGGTCTCCCACGGCAAAACCTCCCATAAGCGCAGTGCCCCTCAGAAGGGCGGGTCTAGCTCAGAACAATCAGATCAACAGTCCGAGATTACCAAAATTAGGCAGATGCTAGAGCTCGTCATCTCGGAAAATAAAAAAAACTTAAAGCCGAACTAGCACAACTAAAGGGAACCAGTGCCGACTCAACGCCACCCCCTTCTCCCTTCTCCCTGCAACCTAGGCCAGGCCGCTAAGAAATCAGGCCAACCTAACCAGCAAGCCATGCCACCTAAGCAGTCGCCTCAAACCCCATCCGAAAACGGCTCTGCCGACGCAATGGATGACTCAGCACTTGACTCTCCACCGTCTAAACGCAGGGCCAAAGAAGTAAGCCCCAGTACTCCTAGCCAGCCCGCACTCTCGGGCTCCAAAAAAACGCCGATAACGACATGCTCCGAGAATTTGGAGAAAACCTTAGTAAGACCTTAAACGAAACGCTCAGCGCGAAATTCGAAGCTATGCTGGCCCAATTCGCCGAAAGTATGGGCACACAAATCGCCAGCCTCAACGTTAGGGTTACAGCCTCTGAAAACGCCACCCTACGGGCGGGCAGGGATGGGGGAACAGGCCCTATAAAATCAACTAAGCCCTATTTTCGCCCACCCGCGGCGGAAAGCCCTCAAAATCCTCACGATAATGTCTAATTCCCAACACAGTAGAACCCGAAAGTCCTGCACGCTCGTCGTCTGGCAATGGAACTGTCGAGGATTTCAAAGGAAACGCGCTCATCTCGAACAATTTATTAAAACCAAGAATTCGGACGAACTGCCTGACGTCGTTTGTCTCCAAGAAACCGGCGCCTTTGCAAAACTCTCCAATTACAAATCTTTCTCAGACTTAGAAGAAGACGCCTCTGGTGTAAACTCCAAGCAAAAACCCCCGGTAGCCACCCTCGTCAGACGCAACCTCCCGGCCATTCGTCGCGATACCGGGGTAAGCGAGCCGTACGCGGCTCACGTCCTCGTTGAATTAATCCCGGACCGGAAACACAGGACACACAGCACATTCATTCTAAACGTATACAGCTCTCCCCGAAACACCCACAAATTCGGCAAACTTTTACGTAAAACCCTTGAACTAGCCCGGGGAAATACCTTGGTCATCGTCGGAGACTTTAATGCACATCACCCCGAGTAGGGATATAAACGGGACACGATCAAGGGGCGCAATTTCTGGCTTGATGCGCAGAGGGAGGGCCTCACATTGATCACTGACCCAACACACCCCACCCGCATTGGAAACAGCGTCAGCGGCGACACCACTCAAGACCTAACCTTCACGAAAAACACGCACAAAGGAGCCAGTTGGCTCAACACTCAAGAAAACCTAGGCAGCGACCACTATCTCGTCGCTATCGGGGTCGAAACTGGAATCGCTAAACGCACATCCGGTAAACGACTCCACCTTATCGATTGGGACACCTTCCGCGAAATCCAAGCCGCTGAACGTGCCTCCTCTAACATAGCGAGCAATCCCTCCATCGAGGAGATAGCTGACATTCAGGAATGGGCGGAACAACTCCGCAGGGATTCCAAGCAGGCTACTAAAGAAATCCCTGAAGACGCAGAGCTC